TTTGCCTAATGGGTAAGTCCGCCCCTGTATACAGTATATATATATACACACATCAGTACTGTTTATATGAACGATGAGGATCTTAACCGAGTTGGTTTTGTCAACTACAGTACTCTGAAACCCAGAGTTTGTTCTGCTGGCTTCACAGCGTGGGCAAAGCTCAGGATTGAAAACCGATCTCCCTGTCGATCACACCTGTGGTGTAGGAGTGACTTACTGCAGGAGAGGGGTCTACACACACACACACACACACATGGTCTCTCATATTAGTCATATGCCTGTCTTTCATCACGGCACAACTCAAAGGGAAGCTCTTCAGTATGCATAACAAAGTAGTGCCGCCTAATGGCACACCGCAGAACTGTCGTAGAACAATCTGTCACACATGGTACCTAGAATACAAGTTACTGAGAAAACTTGTAGTTTAGCTACTGTCTGTCTGACTGTGACGCTCCCCATCTTTCCACTGCACACGTCTACATCTGCACTACACTGTCTTCTATTGTTTGACTGCTGAGCTTATGGTCATTTCTACCCCCTACCCCTCACAGAAATCTCTTTGCATTTCTACATATTAATTAAAGCACTATTTAGTGTGTTTATTAATCTGTTTTCCTTCTGAGGAGCTTTGACTGCCCCACAGTGAGGCTGTTTTTAGGTTCTACTATCACTACTAAAACGGTCAAATTTCACGCGCTCCGTTTAAAGACTTTTGGCCCCGTCCGCCTTCCACATTCACGGCCTGACGTCATTGACGCGTTCCTGTCGTCGCCGGGTTATGACGTGTTTAGAGCGCGCCGTCATGAAGTTGCAGCACATTGCTAAAGACAGCCACGAGTGACATGAGCGCTGCAGGCATTATTCACGAGGTTATAACGGCCCGTGGCGCGCATCTGTTGCTCGTATTGTGATTTAGAGCTGCTAGTGTGTTTGTGTGCGCTAAAGGTGAGTCGACGCGTGCTCAGTACCACACTTAGTGGCACGTGACAGTATAAACACTGTTTACATGCGGGGTTTGCTGAGTTCACGTGTCATTTTAATGTATGTCTCATTAAATGTGAGTGTGGGAAGCGCATGGGGACACATACATTCATGTACTGTACGCGTAATCGCTTTGTGAACACTCCATACATACACATTAAACATTGTATGAAGTGTTTACTGTACAGACGCTCGCGCTAGTCATGCTCTGTATGCTGTTAGCAGGTGTTTCTGGTCACGTGGCTCTCTGATTCTTGGTAACCCGAAGTGCAGCACTTCATTCTTGTTCAACTTCTGACGCACAACACCATGTAATAAGTAACTTATTAATACATTGATTGATTTATTCAGGTTCATCACAGGAATCTTAAACTGAGAACCCCTTCCTCCACTCTGCACTTCATGAATGTCATCAGAAGTCATGTTCCTGAAGGGACGTCCATCATGTTGTCCAGCCCCTAGAACTGCTCATCGAGCCGCAATTTAAGACACAAAACCATACAGGGACTTTATTGTACTCATATCTTAGGCGTTGCACCTCCAAAACTCTTGTTTGAATCAAAATGTATTCAGTGAAGGCTATGCAGTGTTACTTTACATTCGATTATTACATTTCTGTACAAGAAAACCCTTTAGACCTACCTGAAAAACCTGAAAAGCACTGTTTATTTACCTTCAATACCACGACTGAGTACCTTGAGCAAGGCACTGAACCCCCAACTGCTCCCCGGGCGCCGCAGCATAAATGGCTGCCCACTGCTCCGGGTGTGTGTGTTCACGGTTTGTGTGTGCACTTTGGATGGGTTAATGCAGAGCACTAATTCCGAGTATGGGTCACCATACTTGGCCACATGTCACGTCACTCACTCATTTAACTCGTCTCTGTTCTATTGTGTTTATTTTCCACTGTTGCTTGTAACAAGATTTTTAGCATTGAGCCCGTAGTAGCTGCCAAAAAAAAGTAATTGTAATGCAATTTTTTTGTATTTATTTTTCTCCATTAATTAGTTATTTCTACACCCTGGAGTACATAATTTCTGTTGCTTCCTAATCATGATTTACACTATATTTTGCACATTTTAGCACAGAAGCCTAAACGACTTTTTTGACTGACAAAAATCATAATTGTCGATTATTCCCTTGAAATTGTAATTGCAATTATTAATTACGATTATCACCGTTTATATTGAATAATGTTTGCAATAGGGTCTGAAGCATACCATATTTTTTTGTGAAAATAAACAAGCTGAAAACACTAACTGAAAAACTTGTATTGCTTTTCTATAGTATTAAGCCTCAAAGCTGAACTAGACATTGGTTTTGTTGCTTCTTTAAATAATAATTAATAATAAAAGTAAAAATATGCATGGTATTGTAATGTTATACTAAAATTAAATTAATGGAAAAACCCTCAAGATAACCTCTAGAAATAAAACACACACACACATCTTACGCACGCAGAATAATGTGAATCTTTGCACCTTTGAGTGATCACGTAATTGTGGCATCCGTAATTGTAATCACGATTAGAAATTCGATTCATTGCGCAGCTCTAGTTGTCATGTCGTAAGATTACTGATCTCGTGCTTTTTTTTTTCAATTATTTATTTTTCTTTATTTAAAAAAAAAAAAAAAAAGTGTAGGCCTGCTATTTGTTTGTTTTGGTTGCATCTGTGAGTTAATAAAAATGTAACTGGTTGTGTAAAATAGCTAGATAATATCATCATATAAAAGTTTTGAGGTATCTGCAAATATCGTATTGTTGGGTATGAGAATCGGTATCATGTCGTATCCTAATAATCAGTCCAATTCACACCCCTATTTAGTACGGTCCTCGTAAGTACTAATGAGTAAAGTCTTTTGTTACCTTTTTTTCCCAGCACAGTAATATTTAAGCAGAAATGAAATGTTCACAGAGATACTGTGCTGAAAAAGTTACAAAAAATAGTTGTTCATTAAAGTTAGAGGTCTTTAACACGTAACATGTTTTTGTGTTTAAAACATGATGCGCAGGGGAGTGGCTTGGGAAGTTTTCTTTTTCTTTTTTTAAGTTACACTTTTATAAGAACGGCGTGTCATGCGTGAGAATTCATCTAGAACAGAAAATGAGTTTAGTTATGAATGCCTCTCAAGTGTTAATGTGGTCATGTCGGTGATGTGTTGATACTTGTTTTGATCCCTGCAGGATTTCGGAGCTTGTTGAAAGGGAGACGGAGGAGTATCACAAGGCTGATCCTGACCCGTTTGATGACCGCCATCCAGGTGATCATGTCTAACACCCTTACACCTTTACTGCTGTGTGGTCTCCCGGATATAGATATCATAACTCTGACTTTGTTTTGCTCTGAAGGGCGGGCCGACCCAGAGTGCATGCTGGGACACCTGTTAAAAATCTTGTTCAAGAATGATGACTTCATGAATGCGGTAAGGTGGATGCATAATCACATGATATTTTGACTTGTGACTGAATTCACAGTTACATCATGGGTTGAATTGACTGCATTCAGTAGATAGTACCAGCTCCCTGGTTAACACTAGCACATGCGCGCTGCTTACATATTTTATCCATTTTACATTAATATTGTTATTATAAATGTCCAAATGCCTGTCTTCCAGTCTTTGTACATGTAAATATACATGTAAAGATTTGGTTATGTCTTAAATTACCAAATACCGTTTGGAAAACAAAATATTGATATCATACATTAAATCATGCAGGACTTAATAAGTAAATAAAAGACAAAATAAAAATAATTATGATCTCCTCATATATATTGTTTAAGTAGTATTTGGGTGCTGTGGCTGTACATCATGACCATGATATGAAGTGTCTGTCAACAGAGATTTTTCTGTTTTGTGTATATGTGCGGGAAGCCCCTCTGCAGTCACAAATCTCATCCTTTAAAAGAGCCTAGAAGTGCTTTATTTGAGTGAGTGATTTATCTCGGTTTTGTTGTTTGATTAAAATGAATGACGCAGACAGCAGCAGGTATATTAGGCTGCTGTCACTTTAAGATCAATCCCAGATCCAGTTTTTTTTGTTTTCAGTCACTAAAGACATAACCAACTGTGTTTACATGAATACTCGCCAAGACTCGAGTACCTCTACCTCTAGACTCGCCAAGCATCTTTGTGCAAATGTGACCATCAAGTGTAATAAGCCATGAAAGAGAGCTCAGTTCAGTTCTTGAACATTTCTTTATCACCCGTACATGCCAATAACTACACAGTCCTGCCCACTAAAAGCTGCACGGATATATTTAATGGTCTTGATATAAATGAAATTTGATCAATACTTTACTATTGTCATGTGATATATCACCATATTGCCTGGCCCTACAAATATATCTTTGTGGCAGTATATCACTACACCACTGTAAGTAAGTGTAGTGTATTAGTCTTGAGTATTTGGTTTATTTCTGTGCTTTAATAGCTTTGACCCTGGAGCACAAAACCAGTCATAAGGGTCAATTTTTCGAAATTGAGATTTATGCATCATCTGAAATCACAAGCTTTCCATTGATGTATGGTTTGTTAGGATAGGACAATATTTGGTTGAGATACAACTATTTGAAAATCTGGAATCTGAGGGTGCAAAAAAATCTAAATATTGAGAAAATTATCTTTAAAGTTGTCCAAATGAAGGTCTTAGCAATGCATATTACTAATCAAAAATTAAGTTTTGATATATCTACGGTAGGAAATTTACAAAATATCTTCATGGAACATGATCTTTACTTAATATCCTAATGATTTTTAGCATAAAAGAAAATCAATAATTTTGATCCATACAGCGTATTTTTGGCTATAGCTACAAATATACCCCAGCGACTTAACACTGCTTTTGTGCTGCAGGCTCACATATGATAATGAAACGACAGCCCTGTAGTTAATGATCGCTTGATGGGTGTAAATATAAACATGTTGCTTGTGGACAGAAAACATCCTGCGGTCTTGACTAATAATGACTAAGAAACTGATGCTTTTAGTGCTATTTAGTGTCCATATAATTGCATGGAAATGTAAAAATCAGTGTTTGTGTCGCAGGTTCCTTTGATGCTGCAGAGACTGAGAGAGCTTCAGGAAAAGGAGGCAGAGAACAGGAAGGACAGTAAGCGTCCAAGCAAGAGTCTCGCTCCACTGCTGCCCCTGGACGAGGAAGCCGTGGACGGAGAGTTCGCTCCTAACACTCCTAACTCCGAGAATCACGACTCGAGAAGAACCGACTCCGACGCTGAGCTGCAGCCCGTGTCTGCTGCGAGGAGCGTGGGGAGAGGTAACACAGGCATGAAGGGCCTGATGAAGCCCGCTGCAGCACTCCCTTTAGAGCTGGACGAAACGGACAGCCCAGGTGAAGTCATGAGGAACTGGAGGAAGAAGGAGAACGGTGGCAAAGTAAAGCAGAAGCTGAACTTCTCGCAGCCAGAGCCGGAGCGCAGCAGTGAGATGTCCAACAGCAGCTGGACTGAGATGAGCCCGTGGGTGATAGGAAATAACTACCACCTGTGCCCGCTCACACCTGGAATAGAGCAGCGCCTCATCCTCCAGTACCTCACCCCGCTGGGAGAATACCAGGAGGTGATTTCTGTAGCTTCACTTGTAGAGCACTGGCCTAGCAATGCCAAGGTCATAAGTTCCATTCACGGGTAGAGCCCTAAGGTAGATACAGCATGATTAGCGTTGGGATTTTTGCTGCACAAATGCTACACAATAACAAAAGGCAGTTTGACTCTAAATGATATAACTGCCTATAGAACTCATTTACTGTAGATTATGTAACTAAATTAACTGCACATATGGTCTTTTTCATGCGTGATCATAACCGGGCAAAGCCTGACATATGAAATAAGAGTCCAACATTCTTTTAGTGTTGGAGAGTCCCAAAAAAAAAAAAAAGTTTGCATAGGTTTAAGTATCATTTTTGTTACATCATGCATTTATGGCTTATCTATTTTATGATATAGCAAGAATATAAAGCTCATTTCTTGAAGAGGCCCAAACTGAGCAAAAATATGCAATTTGGTGCAGATGCTGATATTTATATGGCCAAAAAGTAAAACTCTAAAAGCTTGTAATTTAAATGAGATCTTAACAGTGTAATAGACTTCTTGCATTAAAATGCTTATACATTTCAGTTGTCAAAACATATAATGTAAAACACTCTCAGAACAGTGAATGGGTGTTATTTTTCAATAGTCCAAAAGAAGTCCAATAAAGCGCATCCATCCATCATATAACGTGCCTCATATGGCTCCGGGGCTGAATAAAGGCCTCCTGAAGCGAATCGATGCTTTTTTTTTTAAAGAAAAAATATTTAAAACTTTATAAACCATAATCTCTAGCTTCCGCTAACTGTCGTGCGCGCGCTCATTCCGGCGGATGTAGGCGTAGCGCAAGATCTGGTGAGCAGTGACGAATGCGGAGAGGAGAGCAGCAAAACAAAAGAAGTTGCCTTAGAAGTAATAACTACTGGAAAAAAATTGGAATGCAAACGTATTTTCCAAACATTAGCTTTATCAAAAACAATAAATAAGCTAGCTGTGAACAGAATTTTTCAGCGCAGGAATAAAATCGTGGTGTTTGCATTTGTGGTGAATGGTGCATCTTTCAGGAGAACATTACGTATCCACATCCTGCTCTGCAAATCAACACGCAGTCCCTTCTGTTTTTAAAGAGAGAGTTCACCCAAAAAGAAATCTTTCA